AATTAAAAGATTCATCATAAAACTTAGGCTGATAATATTTGAAGTAAAAACGTATATAAAATAATTAAAAACTGGTAAAAAAATTTGAAATGCGTGTCAAATTATTATAAATATAAAAAAATAATTTTTTATTTTTTATGTTAAAAAAGTGATTACAAAAAAACTTATTTGGTAAACAATATAAATAATTGTATTAATTTTAAAATATTCATATTTAAACAATTGTATTTCATATTAAAAAAGTAGTTTTTGATATTCAAACACATAGTTACCAATATGACAAGACATGGAATTATAAATATATAATTAACAATAATGTTTAATTGTAATTGTTAATGTAAATACAAATTAAAGAGAACAATTGTTTTTGACATATTTTTGATTTATGAACATATCTTTTGTATTTAGAATGAGTCTGATTATTTTTATTGTGTAACTACATTGAAAAACTATTATTTTTTTAATAACTCATTGTTAATAATAACACGTGAATGATGTTATTTGATATATATTATCTTTTTAATTTATTCAGTCTAACTACAAACATAAACAACACAATTATAAAAATGACATCACAACTGTTATTAGAATTGTGAAATAATGACATGATTAAACAGTTGCTTTTTAATAATTTTTTATGGTAATTAATATGAAATGATTTTTTCTAATACTTTAAATGTTCAGTGAAAAAACCAATTAAATTATTAAACATGTAATCTTTTGAGTGTGTAAACATTTAATTTCAAACTAAACAAATACAAAATTATTATAGTATGAAAAGAATGTGAATGGTTATTTTAAACAACTTGTTGTTCACACCCTTGTGTACATGTTATGAAAAAATAAATATTACAGTATCCAAAACGTGGGTGGATAATTTTTTATCCCATGATTAGTTCTCCCAATTTTAACAGAACATTCTTTTCACACATAATGTATTTTTTGACTTAAAATAAACTAAAAAAATATAAAAAACCCACAAAACATGTTAAAGTTCATAATCAATTATTTTTTTGGTTTGGCGTTTTTGTTTGCCAAACTTTTTCTTAACTTCTTTTGCCTTTTTGTTAATAGCAAGCAGTTGCATTTTCTTTTTGTTTTATTTTCATTCAACTTTGGAGCACTTTGAAAATAACAATTGGGCGTATTTGAATTATCCGAAGTTTTAGTTTCCATTTCATTTATCAAATTCGATTGGCTTGAATTGTTCGTTATTGTTTGTTCAATACTTGATATTTTTTCCATTTCTTTTTCTCCAATTATTACACAATCTATTTGTGTACTACTTACTACATTTTGAATTTCCTTTGAATTAATACTTTCAAGTGTTTCTCCTTCCGATTCAAAAAAGCATTCAAACGAGTTTTTCGAATGAAGTTTTGCAAAAATAGTATCTAACAACAATTCAATATTACAATTTATAATTTTATCAGTGTAAAACCGATTGACTAACATTTGAATACACTTCGTAGTGGTTTTTTGTTTGGTTTTCTTACTTTTTGGATTTGTCATTTTAGTTTGAACTTTTATGTCGGTCTCATTTATAATGTCCAACAAACGATCGATAAATTTTCCAAAAGATGGTTTTGGTGTAAGAATTGTTCGAGAAAGCATGCTGTGAAAGGATTCTGCTATATTGTTGGTGCGCATCATTGAATCATGGTGGCACCAAATCGAAATCATTACATCATTTAACCAAGTGTTTTCTTAATATTCATAAACAATAAAAAAATCTTTATCTTTTAAACGTGATTGTAATAAATAAAATTGATGTTTTAAATCTGTTTCTTTCAAAAAAGTGTCATAAGTCTTCTTACTTCTTTGGAGAATTGCCCATTACACTTATATTTTTCAGACAAGTGAAAGTTTTGAATTTTCCGCCACAAACATTGTGTAAAATGGAAATAACACCCTTTCATTTGACAACTCAAATCTCTAATAGATTTTATAAAACCTGCCTCAAAATCGGAATATATTGTCGAATCGGTTCTATTAAAAATTGGAACACCAAATAATATCAAAGATATTTGATCAATAACAAATAATACTTCGTTGTATACTGTTGCATCTTTTTTATTTAACAAAACATAAAAACAAGAAAATGAAAACAAATCACTACACACAACATGAAATGTCACCAACTGATAATGTGTTGTTGGGCACCTACTAAAAGTGCCATCTACACAAATAACATTGGCGTATGTGGCTTTTTCTAACATTGATTTCGAACCAAAAATAATAATTGTATTGTCTTGGTTTCTATACAATAAAATGTCCTTTACTTTTTCACTTTCAAAATAATTATCAATGGTTACTGTTTTGTATAATTCATTTTTATATGTTCTTGCTAATCTACTGGACACACTCAGTCTTAAATTGGTGTTTATTAAACAATTTTTTACTATT